CAATACCGAAATAAATACACGATAATAATAACGTCATCGATACTCGGTAATAAAGACACTAACAGCACCTCCTAAATTATTCTGCATGCAGTTTCTTTAAAGCATATCTTCCTGGGTGGGGGGAGGCCTTTCCTCCCCGTATTTTTTGAAGAAAATATAAATATTTACCAGTGTCAGCCTCCCCACCCACCTTAAGAACTTAATTCGCCACCGCAAAAATTTCATGGCCCACCAATACCCTCGTAGAAAATAAAAAAACGTCTGAAAAAAATATTATTCCAAAAGTTGGAAACGGGTCTAGATTATAGAACTTGGGCTCTACTTTCAGTCTGTTTGATCTACAATGCGACAAATGTTTTTTTCCGACTACTATTTTCTCAGTGCGTTGGGGGGGGGGGGGGGGGGTGGGGGGGGGTCGCCGGAAGAGATTCCTGAAAGAAACTCTGAAAGCAACGTTTGTCAAGCTTTAGTTTAGGTGCAAGGTTTAGGAGTATGACTACGACTATATTTAGAATCAATGTGCAGTAACTACGTAGTTAAGGGTTACCAGATAAAGTATTGTGGTAGTTACGTCCCTTACATGCCCCCTGATTCTGTGTTGTGTGCTCGAACGACAGGTACCCTCCTTTTAGTAGTGATCAGATGCAGAGGCGTAGCGAGGGGGGGGGGGGAGGGGCGGGGGCGGCGAGGGTGCGGACCGCACCGGGTGACACCATTTAGGGGGGTGACACCAAGGCAAAAAATAGCAAAATATATAGAGAAAAATAATAATTTTACTTAATTACGTGATTTATTCGAGTGTTAAATAGTCTTTTAAGAGGTGCAAATCAAATGTTTGAAGGGGGGGGGGTGCAAATCGAAAGTTTGAGGGGGGGGGGGGGGGGGCTGTGCAATTCGAAAGTTTGGGGGGGGGGGGGGGGGGGCGTGGGTTCAAATCGCAAATTTGTCCCCGGGAAGGATCGTTACGCCTCTGGGGGCTGACACTATTAAGTGCCGCACCGGGTGACACCCGACCTCGCTACGCCACTGATCAGATGACACATGCTTGTTTAACAAAAGCGGTCATTGCGGAGCTACGTATTTACGGTGTGCATGAAAACTAAGTACTATTAGAGCTGATTACTCGGCTAAGGCCTCTTTCTTTACATCGCAGATGGCTTATGCACTTTTTTTTGTAAAGTCAGATATACGCTGGACAATAGCCAGAGTCGATGATGCAATAAAAACAAAAATTTTATGATAGGAACATGCAGACCCATACTTCATTTTTGAAAACGATTTCCCGTGTTGTGGATTGACATTAATGTAGTTAATTTAATAATATTACCATTTTATTTGTCTTTGCATTTTTATGTCTAAAACTTTTATTTTAAAGTAAATTTACTCAGTCTTTTGATGGCTTGTTTATTAAGTTTAAGTCATTCATATAGTATATCTCACAATAATTATGTGTAAATAAATTAAAATCCATAATATGACATTCAATTCTAAAATGTTGAATCCACTAAAAAAATAATCATAAATACTATAAATATTTTACTGTGAGATATTTTGTCTGAGATTATTTGTCCTGTCACCATATATATATACATATATATATATATATATATATATATATATATATATATATATATATATATATATGTATATATATATATATATATATATATATATATATATATATATATATGTATATATATATATATATATGTATATATATATATATATATATATATATATATATATATATATATATATATATATATATATATATATATATATATATATATATATATATATATATATATATATACGTATTTGTATATGTATACACCTGCATGTGGTTGTGTGATTGTGTCTCAAACACCTGCGTGTGGTTGTGTGGTTGTGTCTAAAACACGTCACTGTAACAATGTGACAAGGTACGTGACGTTTGAGAGTAGGATCTTGTTTTGGGGGGGGGGAATGATTGGATGGGTCGTCACAAAGCTGTGCTAGGTAGTTGAGCTATTCGTCTGTCGTCGATATGAATGTATTGTTTGTATACGTTGTGAAAGTCATCATCCGTGTGTAATAAGCCAAGCAATAAACCATTAAATGAACCAATGAGGTCCCGTTCAATATTTCGTATTAGATCGTCATTGTCTATCGATGCTTGTTATCATACACTGTCGACCCCGTCCTAAACTCGCATCGTAATAACTATGTGTGGTTGTGCCAAGATCTCTAAACTATGTGTTGTTATATCTATATCTTTGTAATGTGTTATATGTCTAGATCTTTGAGTCTTTTTTTACGCATTCGCCTAATTTTCAACATAAGCCATTGCAATTAACTGAATTGAAATGCCCTGCATTAGAATAGGAGATGGCTATTTATAATTATCTAATTTAATTTTTAAGGTGATGGCTAACATAAAATGTGCCTGTTGTCGTAAACTAAATTAATTTACTTTGCAATTGATTAAAACTAAACCACCATACAAATCTGATAATAAACAACAGCATTCATTTGCTGAATGACATTTTGAACTAATTAGCTTTCAAGATAATTAAAATGCATAATTCAAATATATAATTATTTTTCTGATAAATTTTACAAGCTTTTTACAATCTTTTATTTAACTTACTTCCTCTGTCTGTCGTTAGTCGTCAGTCTTTCGTGAGTCTAGATAGAAGCGCCCGGGTGAAAATTCTGGACTATGACAGATTCGTTTCAAAGTTGGCACGTGGGTCAAGGCATGAAGACAACGCAATATGACATTAAATTTGACTTAATTGGATGCATAATTAAATTTTTATTAATTAATTAAAAATGCGTCCAAATTAGTAGGATGTCTTATCCAACTATTCCGCAATATTATACGCGCGTTATAATGTTCATTGGGTGCGTAATCATTTTTTAGTCATGCAACGTTATTGTAAATTTAAAATCTCGAGTATGCTAATATAACACTACGGGGGATGGCAACTAGGGATATAGACATGATTTTTAATCCATTTTAATTACTTAAACTTTTTGAAAATAGAGTAGAATCTCTTAGAAATGCGTGTATAGTATGCGCCAAACATTATGTGTATAATAGTGCGGAATATTATTAGTTCTTTATAAATTCATATGCGTTTTTTTTTTTTGAGAAATCGGAAATAGCCTCAAGTACTACTTTCGGTCAACAGTAATCGCTTAAAATTAAAAAGAAGGCAAATAATTAGATCTTTAACTTACCTAGGAAATTGTATTGATCTATCTGAAACAGTTTGAAAAATTGAAAATAGAATCCTCCGGTTACAAGAAATCGTTGAAAAGTTAATACTGAACTATAAATTTGATAAAATACTTATATATGAAATTTTATCAACCTAACTGTAACGGTACTCAAGTTATCACGTTCACAGACACAAACACACACACACACATATAAACACACACACACACACACACACAGACATACGGACAAAATTGCAACACTATGTTTTTTCGACTCATGGAGATGTAAAACGTCGAGATTTGTAAAAATCTCGTTTTATTTTTTGCACGATTACATTACTTCCTCTATAGGCCTACTTCGTATACTAGAAAGTAAAGATTCATAAAAAAATATTTAATAACAAGGTTTTAGGTAATAATGCACTAAACAGTAGAAAAAAAAATGATTTTCTGCATTACTATTTAAATAACTATAAAGAAAAGCGTGGGTCTCTTCCTATATATATTAGTAAAGGTATCAAATAGATAAACTGATCCTACTTTTTAGTGCACTATTATATAAAAGCTTTTTATTTAAACGTTTTATATGAATTTTGTTTTCGTGTTAAATTTTGCCCTTTCGATAACTTGTCCTTACGATTATTTATCCTTTTAAACTTTGTCCTGATATATTTTGCCGTGAGATCATTAGTCCTTATATATTCTGTCCGTAAAATATTTTGTCTGAGCTATTTGGTTTCCGATCATTTGACCTGAAATGACTTGTTCTGTCACTTGTTTAAGGGTCTCGTCTAATTCCATGACTCTGTATCGCATCAAAATTCTCCAACTGAAATTTTCAAAAGTCCTCGTCTCCCCCTAACAATGGCGTTGCAACCCTTTCCAGCGCAAACTATCAACAATGCGTTTTACCCCTCACCCCATCCTTGCACTTCCCCCCCCCCCATTGCACAATTCAACAAGAAGAACACAAAAACTGCAGAAAATATAATCCAATATAGATAGCTCAAACACAACAAAACAAAACAAACTCAACGAAAATGTGTTTTTACCAAAAGACGCAAAAGTCAAGTCAATAAGCAAGAGCAAATGAAATGTCATGAAATAATACATATTTTTTTGCTCCGCCGTCCTCGTTTATTTTAGAACAGTATAATGAGGTGACAAGAACAAACCACAAACAAAACCATCAACCTAAGTTAGCACGACATCAACCTATGAGTGTAGTCAATAACGAAAACTAGAAAATATAAATAACGATAATTTACGTCATTGTTATAGGTCTAAAAATACAAATTGCGATGGCGGTTGTTAAGGAATGTGTAGGCCTATGCTTGGAGGGTCCCTGAATAAATGTACGCCTGTAGTGTCCCTGAATTTATGTATGTTTGTAGTGTCCCTGTATTAATGTATCATCGGATGGTTCTGAATTAATGTATGCGTGCGTCTCTAAATTAATTTAACATTTGAAAGTAACTGCTAAATGCGTTAAATATAGCCACGACGTGAAAGGAATATCACTTAGCCATGTGGAACAAATAAAGCATAACAAGGGCATCTAGAGTCAATCAAAGATATTCCAGACCCTAAAAGGCTATCCAGGTCTTTTTATTTAGACTACTTACTTGATCAGGCAATTAAATCCTCTCTTGTTATAGACTAATTAGTCTGTAATGATTTTCCTTGTTAATAGTGTTGAAATGATAATTTTATTACACCCGGAATGACATAAACATCAGATGCTCGTAAACTACGTGTATTTAATTTACAACCATACTATAAAACACAGCCCACACAGCCATTAGGATACACCCTCTCGGCTGTTCCTGAAGAAATTCGACCAACATGTTGCTGTTCATCGCTCTGTTGCTTCACGCCTTCTCTGGCTTTGGTAAGTTCCAGATGTCTTAATGTTTTAGGGCCTTCTCCGGCTTTGTTAAGTTCCAGATGTCATAATGTTATAGGGCCTTCTCCGGCTTTGTTAAGTTCCAGATGTCATAATTATTATAGGGCCTTCTCCGGCTTTGGTAAGTTCCACATGTCGTAATGTTTTAGGGTCTTCTCCGGCTTTGTTAAGTTCCAGATGTCATAATGTTATAGGGCCTTCTCCGGCTTTGTTAAGTTCCAGATGTCATAATTATTATAGGGCCTTCTCCGGCTTTGGTAAGTTCCACATGTCGTAATGTTTTAGGGTCTTCTCCGGCTTTGGTAAGTTCCAGATGTCATAATGTTGTAGGGCCTTCTCCGGCTTTGTTAAGTTCCAGATGTTATGTTACGACCTTCTCCTGATTTGGCAAGGTCCAGATTCCGTTATGTTTTAGGACATTTCTGGATTTTAAGTCTGTTAAAACATTAGTGTTTTTTTTTTATCGTTTGTCGGTTTAATAGTTGTTCTACAATTTTACAAATTTTTTTCAAAGTTCCTAGCAGTGCCGCTAAAGATCGCAAAACCTGTGACTGCGATTTGTTTGACCCCCCTCGTGATCACAACGGACACCGGTATTATCAATCCTCCTTCTACTACAAAGACGCGGAACAAGCTGAAAAAGTATGTTCGTCTTGTGGCTGGTACCTGGCAGAAATCAACACTGAAGCTGAATTCAGGTTTGTGCAAACCCTGGCCAGGAGTGCAAACACTGAAGGTCTGCTGCTCTCTGGAAATGACGTGAACAAGGAGGGCTATTGGGTATTTCAGACCAGTAAGAAACCGGTCGTATTTTTTGACTGGTATGATGGAGGAGCGGACAACTACCAAGGTAATGAACATTATATTACCATACATCAACATTACAACTACCAAATGAATGATGTGCCTTTTGAACCGCAAAGCCGTTATAAGTTCTTGTGTGAAGAGTAGATTAGGTCGGAATATATGGTTGACGGATGAGATAACCAAATGACTTGTTGTCAGTCAATAAAAGTTTAAATTAAACATTGATTTTAAAGCATTCAGAACTGTGTATGATGGTGTTTGATTTTTAGTTTCGATGAATTATAACTGTTGTGTGCCTTTGTTTTTGTGTGTTATGGTAATGATGCTTTTTATTGATTTTTGGGTTGATTTTCTGTCAATCTTTATGTTAACACCCATCAACAAGAGTGTCAGTTGTATGTACTTGGTAAGGAATTTATTCCCGACAATATGGTTCCCGACTAATATGCTCCAGACAATTAGGCAACTGAAAAAAAATGTGGCTCTCTGTCGGGAGCCAAATTATCGAAAGTTCGTTTTTCGGGGCGAATTTGTCTGGGCCGCTTTCTTGTCGGCGTTTAGTCACGCGCCGTTTTCACGTTGCACTGAATGTTACACAAAATATCACAAAAAGTTCTTTTAAAATATTCTTAAATCGTGACTCTGAAAAAATATCCAACATAATCATATCAAACGTGTTCAACTTTATGCAGGGCATTAAAAGACAATTTCGAATAGATAAATGAAATTTGACATATAAGTAAAAGATCTAATTCTCTACCTTTTTTCAAATTTTGAGTAATTTTCGTTGACCAGATTTACGCTATTTCTGGTTTCTCAAAAAACCCATGTGAATTTATGAAGTACTAAAAATATTCCGCACTATTATACATATTTTGTTTGGCTTTCGCTTGCTGCGCAATTTTTTTTCTACGAGATTATATTCTATTTTAAAAAGTTAAAGTAATTAAAAATATATAAGAATATTCGAGAAAGTTTATGGGAGATCACTTCCGGTTTATTTCTATTCGTCGTACTTTAATTTGATATCCTATGCTCACGTGTCCTATAAAGGAGTTTGTCATGTATTCGATTAGTCTAAAACCTGTGATGCCCTATATCCAAATGTTCTTTAATCTGAAATGTCATATAACCAAATGTCCTACAACCAGTGATGTCATATACTTGACTTAGCTAAACTCTTGGCAACCCCGGATACGGATAAATCAGAAGAAAAGACTGACTCAACAAATATATTAATGTGTGGAATTTAGTGGCGGGGAGACAGTGTGGGGACATGCCTGAAGCGAGGGGGGGGGGGAATGGCTATATGCCATGCCCTACAAAAAGTCTCAAGTTTCACGTGACCCCTATCGGGCCGGGCTGCAGTCACATTGGGGTAAGGTATTCTTTGTTGATTTAAATTTAAAAAAAAAACTAATAGGTCAGGACAAAAGGATCGCCATTGTTAATAGTTACAACTGAGGCCTAGGGTTGATGCTAGTGAGTTATTACCCACCAGAACTGGGACAAGTCGTGATTTAATAGGCAGACACTAGTGTCACACGGTCACACCTAGTTGTGTGCAGGGTAGAGTAGTGCGGTCGCCTGGTAATTGTTTGACCTGAGGTGGCTGGCGATAGGCGGACTGGAGTGAACCTCCCCCCCCCCTCTTTCCCGACCCCACAACCTTATAACTGGAATATAAATTTGGGAAAACACATAATGTAATACCCTTTTGTATTCGGACGAATGTAGATTTTTCTAAATGCCTGTCTTAGTTACGGAACTTAGAAAGGCTAGTCTTGTCTTGTACCTCGAAGTAGTCGGATACATAGGAATAATACATCCAGTCTTGGAAAGGGAACAATATAACTCGATAAATTTAGAAATATTGATATTAGTCACACAGAACAGTGATCTCTGCTTGTGTGCTTTGTGGATGTTACACATTGTGACTTTAAACTTGTGGAATATTTCATCAAATGTTTGTATTGCTGAAGACAACGCAGGTGAAGATTATTAGCTTGACTGCCAGGAGCACTCGAAAACTGTGGCTTAGAGAATGGTAAATGTCGGGGACAGAGATATGATAATGGAGCTAACATGAAAGGGAAACGATATATACCTTCGCCATAATATTAATTCGCTTTGAGCAGTACACAAAACGGAGGAAAAGGTTGCGAACACAAAATTCGTATACTATTTCCCTTAATTGATACAGCCTCACTGTACATGTTTAAGACACTAATAGCAAAACTTAGGCCCGCGCAACCAGGGCCTTACAACTCCCACAATTCATTTAACCATTTTGGGGTTTCTTTCTTTACAGATAACTCTACTGTTTAAAAAATCAGCTCTATATATGCCCCCGTTTACTTTACAGATAATCCTAATTTGAATTCAAATACTTTAACTTTAACGCGACTTTTAGCATGCCCTACAATTCATAATAAACAATTTGGGTACAATTGTTTTTAACGATAATACTAAAATCTTTAAAAAATAATATGATGATTCATATGATTGAAGGTGTCCGACTTCTTACAGTGTCTCAAAAATAATATGGGCATTATTATCCTTAAATATATTCATATAATGCATCACAACAATATGGGATTAATTACTCTGCAACTGCCCTTACGTTTTACTGAAAATTCCCCCAAAAATTATAAAAATGTATTTGGCTATAATTACCATGTTGATGGCCTTAGAATGTATGAAAATTACATAAACACTATAAAGATGCCCCCAACAGTAGACAAAATGATGGTGGGTATATTTACTGTATTGATGTCCTTCAAATATATTATATGAATATAAGCACAATTACTTTAAAGATGTCCTTAAAGTGTATAAAAGTAAATATGGATATAATTACTCTACGGATCTACTTGAAAAGTAGTTAACGAATATAGACAAAAGTATTCTATAAGATGCCCCTACACTATCTTTATATATAATTCTCTTCTGGGAGACGCTAGAAAACAAGCTGTAAACGCGCTCCCTACCACCCCCACCCCTACATGGTCTGGTGAGCTGTGGTTCACTCTAAATGTTTACAAACAGAGCCGGGTTTAGTGACGACTATTAGGGGCAGATAATTTAGTTTGAAACGATTTTAAACGTAGGGGGGGGGGGGTAACTAAGTGGAGTTTACTTTAACGGAGGGGGGGGGGGAAGGAGGGGGGGGGGGGGGGGTTATCGCCCTTAACGAGCTACTTATAGTGTTTATAGAAATATTTTCAGTGGCAACGTTGGTAGTGTCGAATTCACAAATTATGAATAACTGAAAAGTAGAAAAAACACCAACTAAATAGCGGCGTATGATATGCCGCGGGTCGGCTCGTATTAAATAAATATCAACTACACGTTTTTCAATTGCAAAGAAAAAACAAATTTTACACCATTGGATGCCCCTACCCCCCGAGGTAGATGCCCGGGGCCTGCCCCCCTCCCCTCTTCTGCACGCCACTGGTTTGGAGGTAGTGTGTGCTAAGAATTCTTCGTTCTTAATTCTTGATTCGAATCATGTCCCGCGCACATTTCTGTCACACGTTGCTAAAAGAAGAAATGCGAAGCAGACACGCCCAATGTGCATAGTCAACAATGGAAAAATGGCCGGATGACATTTTTGACCAACGGTCGCTTATTGTATAATAGTCAAATAAATGCATTCTTGAGTTCCAATCGTCAATGTTGTTGAGAGAAATGAATTCGGTGCTCTAATTACCGTAACATATAACCTAGAATGTCAAAGAGTAAAGAAATAAAAAGCTATAAATAAAAAGCTATAAATGTAGCCCATACCTTGATTATGGGACGCCGTGACCAAGCGGTCGAGCGCTAGGCTGCTAACATGACAGTCTCGAGTTCGAATCCGGGTGCAAGAGTGAAACATCTCCGAGTCCACCCAGCCCTGATGGGTACCTAACTCACGTTAGGTAAAGGCGGCTGGGCATATTGCTGAAGAAATTATTCAGCGCAATATGTCCTATGCTTTATTACGAACCCTGTTCACTATATCGACCAAAGAATATCTTTTGTTGAATTGACGTGTCATGCTACCACTCAATATATAAAACAATTTGTTTAAAATGTGCGTACAATTCATTTGGTCCTCACAAAAAAGCCTGGTTCTGTTATTGATTATACTACTTGTCATTTCAGTCTATTTAATATAAATTAGTTTGATGTAAATTACTAATGTAGTTCGTAGGGTATTCCTATGTTGCTATGGAGACACGACACTGTGTAGACGCGATGTGAAGTAGGTTCTCGTCAAGTTTTTCGGTCGTGTGGTTTAAATATTGCAGTATTACCTGTGTGCTGTAGGGCGGTGATACAGATCTTGTCCAGAATGTCGACTATCGTTGTCGACACCAAAACATACAGGTAGAAAAGCCTGGATGAACTTAGAATTGTGTGCTCGATTTCGCCCAAAGCTCATTTTTGTATGCCTTTTTGATGTACACTGGTGCTATCCGTGATAAAGTGTATTGTATTATGTGCCACCTCACAATTTGTTGTTAACTTTCATTCGAAGCATTTGACATAACACAAGACCAGTAGCGTCGCTAGGTCGGGTGTCACCCGGTACGACACCTCATGGTGTAATCCACCCCGCCTCCCACACCAAATGAAAAAATATACTATATATATATATATATATATATATATATATATATATATATATATATATATATATATATATATATATATATATATATATATATGTATATATTGTATATCTTTTTTCATATATCTTTTATATATATAGTTGCAATTGCAACACGTTGTCACCCCCTCCCACTATCATTTTGCCTAATGGCCTCGATAGCTTTAAAGTATGCACAGTTACTAGTAACGATTTTTATTTATAGCCAAGTACAGCTGTGTGTTTTCTCTTTAGTTAGCGGGTTTCGTCATGGTGTTAAACCCCCACCGCACCCCACCCTCCTCTTTTCGGGATCGTCAATTTATACTTAATAGATTTTTTTATCTCTATTTAACCATTAATTTAACTGGAAAAAAGGCATTTTTTCTACTTATATTTATATATTTTTTTTAAATTGGTGTCACCCGTAGCGGTCTGCAACCACCCCCCCCCCCCCCCCCCCCCCCCGCACCTCACTCGTGAGGCCTCTGCACTAGACCATACTTGTGACTATAAAAAGAGTTTATAACATCAGTATATATAGTAGCAGTAGTTTACCTGGAGAGTAAACTATAAGAAATATCAATCCAGTTTGGTGCCATTGTA